CCTCTCCCCCCCACGAAAGACCTTTGAGAGTCCATTTTGTATTTTGGAAAATTTGGAAAGCAATTCAAAAGGTAGACGATGAGCGCTGAATGCTATAGGGTCAACACATAGATGTGTCATCAACTAAATTCAAATTTCAACTGTTAAAACCGATCCCAAAAAATGTTTGAGTGGTGTTGCAGGACTTTCCGCTCAACTTAGAAACTCTAGTGGTGGGAGAGTTACCAGAAATGCATAGGGCTGCGTAGCATCATGAAAGGCCATAGAAAATATGGCGACGGCGAATAGACTGATACAGAAATGGATGGGATATCCAAAGAGGTGTAGAAGATCGGCGATGTTACGAGCAGCCAGAAGTGAGAACACCGAAGCACCGCCGAATAGAGTGATCTGGATGAGGACATGAGCGATTTGACTGAAAAGAATAAAGTCTAATTAAGGTGAAATTATCATATACAGACTGTAACATCAACTGAGAAGGGGCGGGTCAAAAAATGTTCAAATGAGCCCATCCGCGGTGTCGCCACGATTGGTTCTTTTCTTCCTGTATTGAACACTAACCGAGCAACATCGGTAGGGCAAGACTGTACGCAGACTCATCCGCCCCTCTTAACACCGCCCACCCTGTTTGCGATGTTATGAACTACATATATTCTTCACTTCGGAACCTCTTCAGGAATTTGATAGAATTGTCCGATAGGAGTACTCACCAACAAGCTCAGTTTCTTCAAAAAAGCTCACCCCACATTGTAATTGTGTTCTCTTGAAGTCAATATTTCATGATGGAAGACTACATTTATTCTTCGTTTGCCTTTGTTTTTTATGGGTTGTGCATGGGTATTTGTTATATTGGTTTTATTTAACCATACAGTGAGCCGTGTAATAATAGAAAGAAAAAAAGGGTTTAGGGCGCTTTCTGGTATTACTACGCCATGAAATAATTGCGAAATAACAAGCAAAATTCACAAAAAACGGCTTACCTTGCTCGACCTCCAATAGACCGGTAAGCCATTTCGGCGTAAGGACTCCGACAAGGTTCCAAGTACTGTGGCCATCGTTTCTGCATTAATAACCAGTTGTCACCTAGTTGCATTGCCGTTCGAGCGGTTACCACAGCGAGAAGGCAGAGAAGAATTGGGCCACCAATTAGACCTGGAATTAACATTAGAACTTAGTTTATTTTCTAACTTAGAGGTAAGTGGCATAATAAATCGACAAGGTGAACAGGGTTGGTACACTTGCTATGAAAGAATACTGTAATATACTCAATACTCCAGCAGTTTCGCGCCTTTTTCAACCAGGAGCACCTTTATAGCGCCCAGTCAAGGTGCAACATGCCGACCCAAACCCCGTCGGAACTGCGCGCCCAGAAATGGCTTCACAGTCACAGCGACGCTAGCACTCTTGTCACTTGATTTGTGAGGTAGAATCGAATGGAAGCGCTGATACTGGATATGTGAGTGCATAAGTGCAGCCGTATCTATCAAAACGGTGTCTGGGACAACTCCACGGGAAACTCGTCCAAGAAGGTTCGTCCACAGCCGTGCAGGGCAAAGGTTTTTTCGTGGGTTTTTTGTCTTCTACCTTGCTTTTTCGTCATTTTCCCCGCAACATAGTACCCGTACTACTACTTTTTAGCAGACGCTCGATAATCGTGTTCCTTATTCCTTTGCGCAGCCTACTTTACTTTCCAACTTAATGATCTTTCGGGGCACTTTCTTCGGGTACAAACCCGTGTGAGGGTCCTCTTTTTTTCCGCTGTCATGCAGACCAGGTTCCTCTCCAGTCGACCAAATACGACCCTCCCACACCTGTCCGAATTCCTGAAGTGGATATTCGACCCTGCTCGTTGACGTCAGTGACTTCTTTCTACACTTGCGACTATGAATTCGAATGGATTATGGGGACCTCGAGATGCTGTAGGGCATCGCATGATCCTAATATGGAGAGTGTTTCTCAACATTTTGGCACTGTTGGCGCAATTTGGCTCGGTGGGGCACCGAATTGGTACTGAGCTAACCAGGAATCAACAGGTCAGCCTGGCCATTTGCAATGAGATGCACATCACTGTACTCATCTTG